TTTTACTCTAAGAATATTTAATTTTAATGCAACCTAATAAGAAAAAGTAAAAAAAAAATTAAATGTTTTTTTAGATAATAGCAATGAAAAATGAAAATCACTAATAATAATTTGAAATATGTTTTTATTTTAATTTTAGTTAAGTCATTAAAATGATGTGTCATCCACATTACCTCATTAAAGCCACACAAGCAAAAAAGTCAAAGGGTTAACCAGTTTAAAAGGTAACATGTTACCCATTGCTATTATGGGTAAATTTTTTAAAGTACAATACCTTAATAAAAATAATTTGAAAGTACATTGCTGTAATAAAGAAAAACAAAAGTAAAATGCTATAATAAGAAATTTTATGAAAGTAGGTTGCTATTTCATCCATTTAACCCAAAAAAAAAAAAAAAAAAAAAAAAAGCTCATTGGGTGCTATGCTAGCTTCAATCTGAATCCTGAGGAGAGTGAAGGGGAAAAGAGAGCAATACTTGGTACAATCTGAGCCAAACGATTGCAGGTACAATCGGCGCCAAACGATTGCAGGTACAATTTCATTGCCCTATTTCAAATTTCAGTTCTGTAAATTTAAATTTAGGGTTTCRGTTTTTTGGTTTGACTTTGTCATTGGTGAAATGTACATGTCTCTTTCTCTAATTTGTTKAATGTTTACGTTCAATCGAAAGCTTGTTCATTGAATTGTAACGTTCTATATATGTTTTACGATGCGAGTGGCGGACTGTGTTATTGTACGCTAAACGAGACCCTTTTGGGCTATATTTTTCTATCAGAAAGTGGATTTTAAGTGTGGAACTCATAGTTTGAGTTTTCATATGCAGATAAATTYTGTCTGCTGTTCGTTAGAGGTTGATATTGTAGCTGGCGTTACAGAAGTTGTCTGCTGCAATAGGATGTGCTAAGCTAGAGATACAAAGATATAACAATGGTGGCAATCCAGCCATATATTAAGTTCCCCGTGTATGGAAATTGTGTCACCGAGCTATGTTTTGTCCCAAAAGGATTATGGAGTCAATACCAGAGGTGGTACTTAATACTCCATCCCTCATATTTTAGTTTGTTTGAAATAATTTTGGGAAAAACTGAAAAATGGTATAAAATGTGCTTTATAAGATGGGTTTGGTTGGTTTTCTATTAAATTCTGCATGGATAAAGCTGTATGTGTGGATTAACCCGTTTGTATA